GTGTGCTGCTGCTGCAGCTCCCATAAGGAGTCCATCCACTCCAGCTCACAGGCTCTAGCGTGTGGATCCTGCTCTCTGGATTATCCAGGACTGGGAATTGGATGTCCTGATCTCCCCAGGACAGCCGCTCTGGCAGCGTCCACATGACGGGCTGGGGGACATGCCTGCCCTGGGCACTTGAACGCCTGCAGCACGGCTCCCTGCAGAACGTGGATTCATCCCTCCCTCGGCCCCGCTGGCCCCGTGGTGGCTCTGGTTGATTTCGGGCCCCGCCGGTATCCGCAGCAGCAAGCTCGGCGCTTACCAGAGTGTTTCCGTCGTACAGCGCGATCTCCCCACTGCTCGCGCTGCCGGGATAAGCCAAGTAGGAGTTGGCGTGGTTAATGGAGAGAGCGCACAGACCTGGCGAGGCAAGAAGGGCGAGCTGAGGGCGGACAGACCGCAGGATTGCTGCCATGGAGCAGTGGGGGGCCAGGCGCGGTCCCATTCCCGGGCAGTGTCCGCTGCTGGGAGCAGCTGGAATCCCTCAGAGCCATGGGGACACCTGCTGGCAGGGGACAGCACAGCTCCCTGTCCCTGCACGGGGCCCGTCCCGGGCACCGCGCGGATAAACAGCCAGGATTCTGCTTCGTGCCGGACTTGGCATCTCTCCTGTGCTCAGGTCTGCTGAGAATGCAGGAGGAGGTGCACAGAGCTCCACGGGACATGCGTGGCGCTTGGGGCTGACAGGATTCCTGTCCGGATGCAGCGGGACACAGCATCTCCAGTGCTTGGCCCTGCTACAGAGCCCAGCCTGGCCTGGCAGCGCCTCTTCCTTCTCTCCAAAAGGAGAAAAGCAGAGAGGGGCAGAACAAGCACCATAGACAAGGAACCTGAACGCAGATAAACGCTGCCCTCAAGGAGACACTTGCGCAGGGGCCCACACGCCTATCCCCAAGGACAGAAGGTCTCTCTTCCCGGCTCTCCTTGGTGCCTCTGGTGCACCCCATCCGTCAGGACACGGCCCTGGCGCCGGCTGTCCGCAGGGCAGACGCAGCCGAGGTTCTGGCTTTAGGTCATTGTTTATAAGGTAACAAAGCGGCTGGCGGAGCCAGGGCTTCACGCTGGTCCCTGCCGCTCACGGGCGTTCCCAGCCCGCGGGGCGGCCGCAGCCGAGCGCGGGCCGTGGCACCCGAGGGGACCAGCAAGGGCATCCAGGCACAGGGAGCGGGGCTGTCCCCATGGGTGCAGGCGCTGCTCCGAGTGGAGCATCTCCAGGAGGAGACGGCTGGAGCCGAGCAGAGCTCTGAGCTGGCCGGGTCATGAGTCACCCGCAGCTCCGCGCCCGCCTGGAAGAGGCCAACGGAAAAGCAGGGGAAAACACAAACAGGAGCGAACTGAGCTGACCTCAGGGACGCACGGGGAGCAAGGACCTCTGGGGTCACTGTGAGGGAGCCCCAAGGATGCTGCCCCAAGGGGGTCAGTGCAGGCGGCAGGAGAGGAACAGCCCTGGTGCTGGTGCTGCCAGGATGAGCATTAGAGAGGGCTGTCCTGGCTCTAACAGGAGCAGGTCCTGCTGGAGCTGCAGCTGCAGGGATCATAGGAAATGAGGCCTCTGGCTTGGGAGTCCTTGGCACCAGGACTCCCAGCTTGAAACAGAAATGGGCAAAGTGCCCATTGCAGAAGCCCCTCTGGGAGCAGTATCTCTCTGTCTTTCCGGCAGCAGGGATGTGATTCCCACCGCTCCCTCCTTGCTCTCAGATGTGCCCTCGTGGCACACACATCCACACAAGCACTGCGAGCAACTCGGTGCAAGCCCTGGGCCAGGGCGCAGCCACGGCCCTCCCTTGAGCCGTGCTGCTCTCCCGGGAGGAACTGGGGCAGGGATGTGCTGGGGAGAGGCCATCCTGCCCGTGCCGTGGGGCCGGGCGGTGACCCTGCTCAGCCTCACTACCCCAGGGACCTCCTGTCGTTCCCCCTGCTGCAGAGCGGGGCGGCTCACGAGCCCCTCGCTGGAGGGGCTCTGGGGAGAGTTGCTCCTTATCTGAGTGCACAGGAACAGACTCGCCCACCCCAGGCACCTTCCTGTTCTATGTGGAGGGACCTGCCAAACAGCTCCGAGATGACAGCCCCAAGACTGTGCAATCTCTCTGGAGGGGCAGTGCACGTCCCTGCCACAGGAAACGTGGCTCCACTCACACACTGCTCATGGGAGGCCTGGCCAAAGGGCCAGGAGACCCCACAGCCTCAGTCTCCCGCATGCACCGTCCTTGGGATGAGGTTTGGGCCTAAAGCAGATGTTCTGGGGACAGAGGGTGCACACAAGGGAAACGCAGCACTTGTCATTCGGCTCGTTTCAATGACAGCTGCTGCAGTAAAGGAGTTTTAAAATATTAACTCCATATGAAGTCCTGTGATCCACAACAGCCCAGTCATGTCCCAGCAACTGCTGATTGTTGCTGCTTTTAAGCTATGACCAGATCATTCTGCTCTGCTGCAGAACAGCTCCAGGCATGGGTGTCCCCTCCTTGCTTGCGCTGGAAGGTTTTAAACTTTAATTATATTTGCAGCATTTAGTATGTTTAATCCACACGCAGAGACCATCTGTTAAGACCTGAACTGGGTCAAGGCAGGAGCTGCATCCCCGGGAAGCTCGGAGGCCAGGCGTGAGCACAGCAATAGCTGCACGAGCCGCCCCTCGATGGGAGGCTGCAGCCCGCGGCCGGGCTCGCGCAGCAACACGCGGCAGTGGCGCCGCGGGCGTGCGGCCAAGCTCCCTCCTCGCCGCCAAAAATAGCTGCTCTCCCATCAACAGGAAAGCCAGATTCACCCGACGCTGTGCAGCACGGATTTGTTCTGCAGCCACCTGCCCTGCCCCCTGCGTCTGTCACATACGTGGGATAGGATCAGGTGGCGGCCCAGGCTCTGGGGACCGCCAGGCAGAGCTCGCTTGGAGACATGGTGGGATCTGCGGTGCCCCCAGCTGCCTTTTCTGGGCGCTCCTCACAGCACCGGTGACCCTGGGAGCCAACCTCAAGCACACGGGCAACCACAGGGGCTTTCTACCTTAGTGTATCCACAGCCAAGAGACCCTGATGAGACCACAGCCCTGGAGGGAGCGTCGCCCTGCGCTGCGTGGCACAACGCTGCCCGCCGGCTGCTGACTCATGCCGGCAGCACTGGGAAGCAGGGCTCCTTTGTCCAGGTTGCTAAAACGCCACGGGACTGACACCAACCACATGGAAGGAAGGGGAAGGAAGTCCCAGAAGAAAATATTCCATCTGCCCTATGCGTGAAAGGAAAATTGTAGCCCTAGCCTACCTTAGAGCTTTGCTCTTTCAGCAGAGAATCCAGGCACATTCCAGGAAGCTAAGACCTGCACCAGGGGCCCATGTGATGACAGGGGACAGAGCCTGGGGGGTGAGATCAAACCATGCCGCCTGTTTTAGCTCTCCTTTGAGGCATTTGCTCAGGACAGAGACGTGTTTCTTCTCTCCCAAGCTGGACTGACCTCCTGCTATGGTTCTGGCTCCACAGCACTGAATTAATTGTGCTAAGAATACACAAACCACAGGCTGGTTTCAATTCTAACACTCACGCTGTGGCTCTGCAGAGCTGATCTCTCCCTTTCACCCAGTCTCCCGCACTTACCTGTTGTATTTGGAGGTGTGTCCAGAATAGTCTTCAAAAGCTTCATGTCCTTAATATTATGGATGTAAATTGACTCCTCCAGGCAAACAATCAACCTCTGCAAGAGCACAAGGAACATGCACAGAGCCTCAGTGCGGGTGCGGTGCCCTTATTTACCCTCCCACAGTTCACACAAGCAAATCTTTGCTGCCTGGAAGGCTCTACAGAGATTTTGGACACACTGAAATGCAACAAAACTGTGGTCTCTTCTGCTCCTATACCTGTCCTTGCTGGAGAGCCCAGGATTTTCATGGTTCTCCTTTTGAGACAGTCTGCATCTGCTCAGGTTTTGGGAAGCAGATATGAAATCTCAATTTCAATCTGCTACTCTTCAGATATGGTCTACCACATTCCCGGGAATAGGAAGATGCATCTGGGTGATACCCTGGCAATGAGCCTTAATGACTGTTTATTATTACTGCTAACTTTTTTTACAGTTCTTTTCATAGCAAGTTACTTTTTGGTCACAAAGAGCTGGGAGCAGAGGGGCTGCCAACTGCTCTTGTCAGGATGTTGGCTGACAGGATTACCTGCCCCTTGCCCTGGTTTCTTCCTGATTTCAAGGCAAAATCCAAAAAAAAAAAAAAATAGGTGATAGACTTCCTGCCACCAGTGACTCTAATGGGTCTGTTCAGCAAAGTAGTGTTTCTTTTCCAGTACTCCATCTTCTCTGTGCTTTATGTGCCTCAAGTTGCTAGCAGAATTGTATGGAGATCAGGCTGGGAGACATTGGCTCAGGGAGCGTGACAGTGGTTAAAGGTTTCACGTATAGTATTGACACCACCTCAGCAGATGGATAGAGTATTTCCAAGTCAAAGTGCTTGAACCTTTCTGGACCAGGTGATCAGGAGCATCCATGCAGCAAAGCATCAGCCCCACAGCCAAGAAAGCAGCTGCCAAGCAATGGTCAGGAAAGGCAGAAGCCAAAATTCCATGGAGATGTTTTGCACAGATGCATTTTTGGGACCAGGCTTTGGACCTGGTTGACAGGTTGTGTTTGCTAAGCCTGGGTAGTATTCAGCTCTACTAACATTAGTGCCAAGTGTCCAGAAGCTCTGAAAACATCCGAATAAAATTGTAAGGCCAGACACACCCTTTCCCACTTCTATTCCTGCTAACCACAGCATCTGGGGCTGTGTCAGAGCTGTTCTGGATTTCCAGGAAGACTTTTCCTTTTCTACAGTAACAGCCCTCAACTTGTGAACTGAGACTGTCAGAGTAATGTTTATACAGCCGATTTCAACAAAGCTACCACATGCTTTCCCAGAACTGCAAACATGCTGCTCTTGGTGAACATGGCCAGGGAGGTTTTCAGATGGGAGCAAAGTGGCAGCCAGAGCTGCTGTGAGAGTTGCTGGCACCAACAGGGACAAAATCCAGGAACAGACAAGACGACTGACAGGAAGGGAGGTGAACAGGCTAGGTTGGCTTCAACAAGCCCATAGGGTGGTGAAGAAGGTGGATTCTCTGCCTTCCCTGGAGTCCCACAGCCCCCACTAACATCATGGAAAACATGCAGAGCGGAGGAGTGGGTTTTACCCTTGCTCTTTTTTGACTGAAACTCACAGAGGATGCTGCAACAGCTACACATTGTACACCACACTGCTGCTCATCAGCACTTCTTTTTAAAATTTCATGCAGACGTCAGCCAAGTTAAATACGTGATCTGTATGTTGATGACTTAAATGCGGTGGGTGTGGATGTAGCCAAAAAAATAAAAAAAGTAGCAGACTTCTCCAAGAATTCAGCAGGAAT